TCATTAGCAAGATTAACAAAGTGAATTTTCACAGGCTCAAAACCAGCACAGAGTGAATCTTTTAGTTCCTTCTCCTATGCTGCCTTTTTTCGATAAGCACCAAGGGAAACAATACTTCTATAATGTCAATGTAATATTTCAGCATTTGCACATTACCGTTGATGCCTGTCTATCTCAGGAGTCTGTACTCCTGAGTTCAAGTGTGTAGTTAGTGGTACAGCTCAGAGTGCATGACCTTGTCCTGGATGTATTAAGATGGAGTATGGATTTCATCCTCGTGGGAAAACATTGTGAAATAAGTTCATCTATCTCTAATTTCCATCATAAAAAGATAGAACATGTTGGTAAATTAAATCACAAAAAATAAATCCTGCATATTTATGATCAAAAGTAATATTGTACAGCTGTTTTGGTCCAATACTGCAGTACTAATCCGATTAAAAAGACACAGCCACAGATACAATGCAATCTCCTGTTCAGTTATGAACTTCACTCTTACGTTTCTTCCTGTTTGTCCCATGATGGTGTGCCAGAAGCCGATGCTCACCAGAGTTTAGACAAATGAGAGGAGATCTAATTGAAGCATATAAGGTGATAAAGGGGATTGGCAAAGTAGGGCGGATGTTTCCCCTTGTGGGGAAATCTAGAACAAGACTATCAGACATAGTTTTAGACTAAGGGCTAGCAGATTTAATATGGAGATATGAGGAGTGACTTCTCTCAAAGAATCTGTGGAATTCACGGCCTCAGTCTGGTAGATGCAAGTACACCAGAATAAGTTTAAGGAGGAAATAGATTTTTATTTAGTCATGGATTAAAGGATTATGGACAGCTGGAAGGAAGGTGGAGTTGAGGCCTAGATGAGATTAGCTATGATGTATTAAATGGTGGAGCAGGCTCGAGGGTGAACTGCTCCTCCTGCTCCTACGTTCCCATGATCTGTGACAAAATCACCATCAGCTCAGCATGGGGCAGCTATGGGTAAACTTTAAAAGGGCCTCCTGATCAAAAAAGAGAGGCTCTACATCATGGCCAACATTTTCTTGCCCAACTCTGTTGCCATTTTGTAGAATCCCTACAGTGTGGAGACAGGCCCTTTGGCCCAACAAGTACACACTGACCCTCTGAAGAGCATCCCACCCACATCCATCCTCCTACCCTATTCCTGTAACCCACCTAATCTACACACCCCTGAACACTACAGGCAATTTAGCATGGCCAATCAACCTAACCTGCACAAAGAATCATAGAATCCCCACAGTGTGGAAACAGGCCCTTCGCCCCAACAAATCTATACTGAACCTCAGAGCATCCCACCCAGACTCATCCCTCTATAACCCACCTAATCTACACATCTCTATGGACAATTTAGCATGGCCAATTCACCTGGCTTGCACAGGAAACCAGAGCACTCAGCAGAAACCCACACAGACACGGGGAGAAGGTGCAAACTCCACACAGACAGCCGCCTGAGGGTGGAATCGAACCTGGGTCCCTGGCGCTGTGAGGCAGCAGTGCTAACCACTGAGCCACACAATTTGTCAAATTTAAATATCACCTGTAAATATTTCACTTTTCATTGTAAATATTTTACTTTGCATTGACTTCACTATGTTCATGGATATTGCACTTTTTTTTGTTGACATTAGCTTATCCAGAAAGGTAAATGTACTGGCATGCCTCATGGTTGTAACTCATTGGTGTTCATTGAGACATTCAAGACATTTCCTTATGTATATAAAAAAATTCTTTTTGTTCAATCTTTGTTGAATGTGCATGATCTGGCAAATGCAGTACATTGTGAAGAAGTGTGAAATTGTCCATTTTGGCTGAAAGAGTAAAAAGAAACATTATCTTCATGGTAAGAAGTTGCAGAACTCTGAGATGCAGAGAGATCTGGGTGTCCTAGTGTGTGAATCACAGAAGGCACAGCAATAATTGGGAAAGCTAATAGAATTTATGGGTAATTGTGAGGGGAATCAAATGCAAGAATAAGGGGGTTCAGTTATACAGGGCATTAGTGAAACTCCATCTGGGTTCTGTGCTCAGTACTAATCACCATAATTATGGAAGCATGTTAATATGTTGGATGCATCTCTGACAACATTTACTACACTAATACTGGGAATGAATGGATTGCCTAGGCAAGCTTTTTTAAGGAACAAATTACTGCAGATGCTGGAATCTGTACTGAAAACAACAAATGTTGGAGATCACAGTGGGTCAGACAGCATCCATGGAGAGAGAGCAAGATAACATTTAGAGCTGAAGTGATGTGTAGAGGGTACCACATTAATGGCATAGTTTGGGTGGGTGCAGTGGGGTTAATGAGAGCTGGTGGAGAAGAGATGTTGATAGTTCGGATTAAGTGATCGGATATTCCTCTGATGAAGAGTCATCTAGACTCAAAACGTTAGTTTGTTTTCTCTCCATGGATGCTGTCTGACCTGCTGTGATCCCCAGCAATTGTTGTTTTCAGGCTTTTTAAAAAATTCAATTACAGGATGAAGCCATTGCTGGCTAGGCCAGCATTTCTTGCCCATTTCTAATTGCCAAGAGGGCAGTTAAGAGTCAACTACATTGCTGTGGGTCTGGAGTCACTAATAGACCAGACCAGATAAAGACGGCAGTTTCCTTCCTCAAAGCACATTAGTGAAACAGATGAGCTCTTCCTGACAATTGACAATGGATTCATGGTCACCATTAGACACAATTCAAAATTGAATTCAAATTCCACTATCTGCTGTGGCAGGATTTGCACCCAGGTCTCAAGCACATTACCTGGGTCTCTAGATTCACAGCTCAGCAATAATATAACTAGGCCATCACTTTCCCCTACAGGCTAGGCCTATATTTTCTGGAATTTAGAAGAGTCAAGGTGACTAAGTTGAAGCAAATTACATCTTGAGCAGACTTGACTGGGTGAATGTTGAAAGGATGTTTCCTTGTGTAGGAAAATCTTGAGCTAGGGCTCATAGTTTAAAGATGGGGAGGGCGCCTGGTTAACAGAGATGAGGAAACATTGGGTGACATGATAGCTCAGTGGTTAGCACTGCTGCCTCACAGCACCAAAGACCCAGGTTTGATTCTATTCTTGGGCAACTTTCTCCCCATGTCTGTGTGGGTTACCTCCGGGTGCTCAAATTTTCTCTCAGTCCAAAGATGTGCAGGTCATGCGGATCGGTCATGCTAAATTGTCCATAGTGTCCAGAGATGTGCTGGCGAGGTGGTTTAGCTGTGTGAAATGCAGGGATAGGGTGGGTCTGTGTGGGATGCCCTCCAGACGATATTGTGGACTTGTTGGCTGAATAGCCTGCTTCCACTCTGCAGGCTTCAATGATTTTTCCTCTCTGAGGACTGAGTGTCTTTGGAATTCCCTTCCTCAAAAGTCAGCGGATGCAGGATCTTTAAATGTTGTTAATGCAGAGATAGGAAGATTCTTGATTACCAAGAGGGATGAAAGACTAATCGGAGATATACAGGAGTGTAGAGTTGAGGTCAAAAATCAGATCAATCATGACATTATTGAATGGGAAGCAAAGTGGAAGGGCTGAGAGGTTCCTTGTTGGTATGTTAGTGTCCAGTATTGTATTCCCGACTCTGTGGGGCATGGAAACAGGGCTGGTCCTTCTTCACTCAGTATTCCCGATTAGTCTCAGGGGAGATCATTGAAATGTTGTAGGTGAACACATAGCCCTGTAAATACTCTGCCAGCAAACCGCTGGAGATGGACCCACTCCTCACTCCATGATCTGGATTGAATGACAGTGCGGTCCTCCCCAGGTACCACATTCGGGACCCCGGACCCAGGCACTCTTCCTTGCCCCTGAGCCAGCCCTCTGTCCTCCCTTGGATATTTCGATTCCTCCTCCAGGGCAGTAGTGATGCCCACATCACTCTGGGCCTGACTTGTTCTTGCTGGGCTGGACTCTCTTGCTCCCCTCCCTTTTACAATCTCGACTTCAACCAGGAAAGCCACCGACCTCAAACACAACTGTCCACCGTCAGTTTGTAACAAACGTGAAGCTGGCGCGCTGTGTCTGTGGTGTTGCTGACTTTAGAGCAATAAATACTTCACTCTTAGAATAAAACATACGCTAACGAGTATTCACGGCCTGTCTCACCAGTGTGGAGGCACGGCTGGACAATATTGCGGTGAAGAGAGCGCTGCCTTGACCTATTTTAACCGGCAGTGGGATAATGTAAATCTCCCATCCTTCCACAGTCAAGGGAGATGCCCCATCTCCCACTGCTGGGGGCTACATTAACCCCCCACCTCTCTCTCTCTCTGTGCATGCCCCTTCATGGGGCTGCCCCATATTTCCAACTGACTTCACTGCATTTGGGTTAACGATAAAGGTAAATTGCACCGGCCAGTTCCCGGTAACGCGCTGAGAGCTTCAGAGGAGCCAGTGCTAGGGACGGCTGCATTTTCCAACGCACGGCGCTCACATCGGATCTCATCTGTTCGTCCCACGAATTTTATTGCTGTGGTTCCATCATCTCATCGAAGCCTGCAGCTGAGATCGTGTTTTTTTTTGTTCCTCTTGCTACGAAGCTGTTTGAAGTACGTTCCTCTGACCAAGGAATACTCAGACTGCTGAAAGAGAGCACCTTGCAAGCCAGAGGCAGCTCGCATTCACGGGCTGCAACTGCAAGTGAATTTAGAGAGTTAGTGAAGTACATTTGGGGCCCGTTCAGTTACCGGACCCTCTCGGTGCCTCAAATGTGTGCAAAGATTGACCCGAAAAAATAAGAAATGACTTGGGTTTTAATTTTGCAACAGCAGGGTATGCCAAATTCCAATGTTTGCAATTCAAGTGCAAAGACTGTACCGATTTGCTTCAGTGGCTATGTACAAAAGACTTTTTTCTTTAAAATAAATGAAGTATATTTTTGCAATAGGTGCCGGTGAAGACAGCTCACTCACCGTCAACCCACAATAACTGCTGGGCGCTGATCTCTTGACTGAAGTCATGGGTTAAAATGAGAAATCTTACCTATCTTTGGGGAAGAAGTCCCTGCTCGTTTTATCCCGCACCAAGTGAGACTTTTCCACGTTCTTCCTCTGGAATGTAAATTTTGAACGGATCTGAGCGAGCTGATCCATCTCCAGCACACCCAGTGGAAACTGAACGAAATCCTCTTTTACAGACACTAGCTGTGCCCTCACCTGAAAGTATGTACCTGAGAGGGGCTTTGGTTCTTGCTTTTAACTCAAAAACTACCAATCTGTCTGAAATAACCTATTGGTTATTGCTTTTAAGTCAAAAACTCTTCCAACCTGTCTGAAGTAACCTATCTCCTTCTTATCGAACGTTATCTTTTGTAATGGACAAGTGCTTGTTTCAAGGCAGATTCCGAGTCTTTGGTACCGCTCCTTTGCCTGGGTTTTACACTAGCACTCTGCAGAAACAACTTTGCAAAGATTTTTATAGACCTGGCGGGGCGTGCGAAAGCATTTAAACGCGTTGAGTGTTTTCGAGGCAATTTCACAAGCAAGTCCTTGCCAACTGCTAGGCGCACTCTGTCCTGAAGGCAGGTCCCTCGGTCATTCACAGCCAGAGTCGAGAGCTGAGGGGCTGGAAAGGCATAGCAGGTCAGACAAGATCAAAGGAGCAGGAAAGTCAACGTCTCAGCCGGAAACCTTTTGTCAGGACTGGGGAGGGGAGGCCAGAAATAAATGGGGGTAGTGGGCATGGGATGGGGTGGGGAGGAGATGGGAATGAGAGATGGTGATAGGTGAATGGGGGTAGGGGGTTATTGTGATTGGTCTGTGGCAAAGGTGGAGCGGATAGGTGAGTAGAAGGATGGGCAGGTCAGGTCAGGGAGGTGAGGAGGAAGGGGAGGGCTGGACATGGGCTACGGCTGGGGGGAGGCATCTAAACGCTCCACCCTTCCCACCACCAATCACAATAACCCCCCTACTTGCATCCAGCAATCACCATCCCTCCTACTTTTCCCCCAGCCCCTTCCCTCTATTTATTTCTGGGCTCCCCTCCGCAGTCTTAAAGGTTTTAGGCCTAAAGGGTTGACTTTCTTGTTCCTCTGATGCTGGCTGACCTGCTGTACTTTTCCAGCTTCATACCTATAGATTTTAGCTTCCAGCATCTGCAGGCTTTATTGCCTTCTTCAGCCTGAGCAGTTTTGTTTCCCCTCCTTCAGAGATATCCTTACTGCTGGTTGCTATTGCCTTTTACTCTTCCAAAGGTCCCAAATCAATTTCAGCCAGAACACTGAGATAACCTTGAAAAAGTTTAGAAAAGATTTATAAGGATTTTGGAGGGTTTGAGGTATCAGTAGGCTGGGGCTATTTTCCATGGAGCATCAGAGGCTGAGGGGTGACCTTTTAGAGGTTTATAAAATCATGAGAAACATGGATAGGGTGAGTATTCAAGGTCTTTTTTTCCCAGGGTAGGGGAGTCCAAAACCAGAGGGCATAGGATTAAGGTGAGAGGGAATAGATTTAAAAGGGGCTTGTCGGGCAACTTTTTCATGCAGAGGGTGGTGAATGTATTGAATGAGCTGGGTGGGATGCTCTGCACAGGGTTGGTGCAGACTCAAAGGGCTGAATGGCCTCTTTCTGCACTGTAAGGTTGCTACGATTCTAACTGGCTGAAAGCCCCTATTTAGTGAGTCGCAGCTATTCCCGCATTTCAAAATATCCTACAACGGTGGTGGGCGCAAGGATTCTGTGGTTAGCACTGCTGCCTCACAGCACCAGGGACCCGGGTTTGATTCCACCCTCGGGCGACTGTCTGTGTGGAGTTTGCACGTTCTCCCTGTGTCTGTGTGGGTTTCCTCTGGGTGCTCCGGTTTCCTCCCACAGTCCAAAGATGTGCAGGTTAGGTGGATTGGCCATGCTAAATTGCCCATAGTGTTTGGGGATATGTAGATTAGGTGGGTTGTAGGGGGATGGGTCTGGGTGGGATGCTTCAAGGGTCAGTGTGGACTTATTGGGCCGAAGTGCCTGTTTCCACACTGTAGGCATTGTATGATTCTTGATTCTATGATGTTTTCTGCTGTCACATTAGCAGCCCTCCTGCCAGCCAACCCATTTCCAGAAGCCGGGCAAATACCCTGCCAATGCTTCAGGGTGATGAGCCATCTCCAGAATTAGTTCCAGTTCAACCTGAAACGTTGGTCTGGATCTTGGAGCAGGTGCCAGGACTTCAAAGTTGGGCCCATGTGTCTGCCTCAAGCTTGTCCATTTCATCAACGAGTCATATTTGTAAAGCATTCCTTTAAGGGATGTCAGTGTTGCTGACAAGGCCAGAATTTTTTACCCATCTGATGTACATACAGCTATAGTACTTTTAGAAAGGGAGTGCCAACTTTTTGACCTAGTGATAGTGTAAAATTGGTGATATAATTCCATGACAGCATTGTGTTTGAAATAAAAACAGAAAATTCTGGAAATACTCAGTGGTTTTGGCAGCATTTGTGGAGAAAGCAGTCAAGTTAAATCCTGAATTTTCTTGGCCCATTGAAGGTGGATTTGCAGACTGAGGGTTTGGGAAAATTGAGGAATTTGTATCTAGATAGCGGACAAATAATTAGAGCAATTAAGGACCCAGTTAGCGGTGTTGTTCTGCTTTGTAATGGTTGCAAACTCAACTTAAGGTAGCTACCCAGCAGCAAGCCTCGATACCATCCCAATGACAAGATTGCAGGAAAGATCAGATCCAGAAACAGTCTTTCGGAGAGATTGCCCCTCAAAAGGACTGTGATAATCTTCAAGAGGATATATAAGGCTAGTGCAACGGGTAGACTTGTAGCTGATGAAATTTGATGCTGAGACATGTGAAGTGGTCCATTTTGAAATAATAAATGAGAAGAGGCAATATAGAATAAAGAATTTAATTCTGTGAGTTCATTGCCCATCAAAGGGAATCAAATAATTGTGTTTTACAAATAGTGAATTGTTGAATATGGAAATGACTGGAATTGTGTTGAATCTTGGAGAAGGTAGCACATTTGCTATCTAAGAAAGTCTGGATAAATGCAGAAAGATTGAAAAAACCATTAGAAGAAATTTTAGAGAAAAGCAGATACAGGACATTATTCCATTTAGGTCTGAGAAATTTGAGATTTAAAATGATGTTTCTTTTTGATTTGGTGACATTTTTGAGTTACATTGCTGTAATAAATATCAGACATTGTCAGGCATTTTGAGTGATTTTGAGTGAATATTTCAAATGACTTATTTTTGGCCTTTCAAGAAGGGAAACAATGTATATTCCTTTTTTAAACAGGTGACCATGCTTTTTGAGATCATGTCAACTGTGGTGACACATGATTACTACCAAATGTTTTGCATACAATTTGCTAAATTACAGAATTACAGAGAAGTCTGTTGAATGTCGTTGGCGCAAGGGGATTAGTTAGAGGATCAATGGTTATGGGAATAATGCAGGATAATAGGGTTGAGAAAACTTACGAAAGCCATGATCAAATGGCAGAGTAGACTTGATGGGCCAAATAGCTCAATTCTGCTCCTATATCTTATGGTCTTTAGGTCTAAAGAGGAGATCCAGGAATGTAATTAATTGAAATTAATACCTGTAGACAGAGGCATTATCAGATGGTGACAGGATGATGACAAGAGTTTGGCTTAGTTTCCTAAAGATCAGTTTAAAAGCATTGTCAGCGACTGAGACAGATTTCTCAGTGGAGGATTTGATTTGATCAGTTTGTACTGCAATATTGCCTCAGTAGATGACTACAGCATATACAATGCATCCACAAAATGCACCCACACTGTAAACTCACCAAAGTGGAGCAGTTTGACAGCATGATTAAAGATGCTACAAAGATCATAATCAATCTTTCAGATCATGTGCTGTCTGAAAGTGAGGAGTTTGTTCTTGGACATGATATCAGTGTTGCCATGCCTTCATCCCACATCAAACAGGAAGAGATATTTCTGAGTTTGAACTTCTCCATTCCCATCTATCCCACCAGAATCCAATATCCAACAGATAGAGTCGTTGAAGGTGCACCTTGTCTAGTGCATGTATACTACAGGGTACCCAATGACTTGATGAAGCATGATTGCACTGCTCTGCTTGAAAGAAAGTTATCAAAACAGTTATTGGACACGTATAAGGGTAATGGCCTGCTTGGTGGTGTAAATGAAGGGATACATTCTCATGGTGCACTACGTCCATGTATCTATGCATGTTGCTTGAAATTTAGAAAAGTGACGACATTTTACACCATATCTTATCTATGACTGATTTTGCACAATCTTAATTGACCAACTGGCTGAGAAGGTTGTCACAGCCAGTTTTATGTGAGCTCTCTGTGGACATATTAAAAGATTCCTTCAAATGTGTGAACACCATGCAAGGCTTGCATATCGATAATAATGCTGTGTCCATGAGCTCATTCATCATTGATAGCATATTCACTAATATACTGCTCAAGGACGACATTAATATCACATCATAATATCATGGTGACCTAGACATGCAGTCATTGAACTTTGCCTTCTCAATCTCACCTCTTGCCAAAGGCATGGAGACCCTCAGATTAAACTCATCAGCAGTTGCTTCTCACTAATGAGAGAGCAGCCTGATGGGACTATGGCATCGAAATACCCAATAGATGTTGTTACCATAGCATACCCTCTAGCCCTTGTCTAACTCGCAAATTAATTGGTTTTTACAGGAAATGCACCTTCAATGAAATGACAACCTGCATACTTCCAGTACGTAAGATATTTTTGAATCTGCAGCTATATGTAAGAATTTGATTACACGCCTTAATAGGCTCCATCTTGTGCCCAAATTCACCTCTGAAAAGGGGCAGTCAAACAAGGTCACATTCCTCGATGTGCTGGTTGAGAAATTGCCTAATGGTTTGTAGAGTAATGAGATTTACATCAAAAGCATACATGAGGATGATGATATCAGCATGGCATGATTAAGAAACTAAATCTAGAAGAGCAGAAGCTGTAACCTCGTGTGAAGATAACGTGCATTGAGGTCAAATTACAGAAAAAATTCTTACAGAAAATACCATGGACTCAAACTATATACTTTGTGGAGCTTTGAGTACCAAAAACCGCAATGCAAACATTTTCCACCCCTTCTCCATTTTCCCATTC